GGACGACATCTGTTAGGCTAAGTTCGGCTAGGGCAGACAACGCGATCATCGTTAGCGATCATGTATCAATGCCTGAGAGTCAGCAGGAGATATCCTCAGCCTGGATCGAAGCACATCTGCTTCACATCATTTTGGGCCTTCGTCAGGGTCCTCTCCTTATCGGCTTAACAGTCACTGTTGCGAGCTCTCATTTATCAAAAGTAGAGACTTGATTCCACAGGCTTTACGAGTCGCTTAGTTACCAACTCTGTGGAGACGCCCAAACTCTGAAATTTTCCCCATGACGCCCATTTCGGTCACACGTACCCGCGATCATGTTTCCGCGTATTTACCCCAAATTCTTTATCACAGGTTTTTACAGGAAGAACTGAATACAGGCCGTTGCGCCTAAGTCATTACACCTCAGGAGTGCCCACAACGAATTTTTTGCGTCGCCACTTCTATCTCTGTTCGATCTCTTGCCCGTATCTTCAGCAGTTTGTAAACAAAACGCAGAAATAACTGAACATGATCATCCTGCTTCAGTAGCGCTCCACTAATCTGCAAAACAAGCCAGGCAGGAGATCGAGAAAGCCCAACAATTCGGTTCACAAACCAATCTATCACACTCTGCTGTGAATCTTTCGAGCGCACTGCCCAGACCAGCTTCAGAGGATGCAAATTGGATGAAGTCATATCCACGCAAACTTTCGAACTTTCACGGAGATAGAATGCACCATTGGCGAAGTCTAGTACTGCGGAAGAAAAGTGTCGACTCATTGCCGTTAACTCTCACACAACCCATGCTATTAAAATGTAGCGACCGACGGATTGCAGCTACATGCCATCATACGTATATTCCGACAGGAACAGCCTTAGTTTGTTGCGGAAGACTCGGATATAGACTTTTCCAGGTCCACGTAACAGGTTTTATATTTTGTGAAGTTTGAATTTCCATATTCATTACCGGTTGCTCCCTGTGGCTTTAAAATTTTTAATACACGTTAAAAGTTAGTCATTTGTGATTATAAAAAATTAAGCAACGGAACTACCATTAATTTATTTAAAAGAAAAATGCATCATTCAGAATAGGATGAATTGCAAAACAGTGTTTAACGATAAACCAAGATAAAGGAAAAACCGTTTTGGGTAGCAGCAAGACCTGGAGGGACTTAAACAGTATGCTATCATGGAAAAACGATCATCTCACAAACTTGAAATGAAATGTCTCGAAATTTGCTACCCTGTAGTTTAAGGAAGGAAGAGCTCTTCCACAATACATTTCAGACACAGTGGCTGTACGCCTCCAACCCATTCACCTCTATTGGGGCTTCGCGCATGCATAGTGCTTGCATCAACCACTGTGACGCTACTATGCATTCATTATGTGGTGCTCGAATG